TGTATGTGTCCAATTCGCACCTTTTTTCAAGCTCTAAACCTACTTGTCCACGTGTCTTTTAAAAATATTCGCTTAAATACCGAAAAAACTTCTAACTAGTAAGTCAATAGAAACAGGTTAAGGATCTTCTGTCATTTCTCAAACAGAATTCTCCTCCAGGAATCACTATTTAAAAAAATTGCATCACAATTCATCCAGTTGTACCATCAGAAACCTAAGTGACTTAACATTTTATAAATAGTTTAGCGACTTCAACATATCCAGATCCAAATCAATCATAAAACCTAAATATACATTCCACCTAAATACATTGAGTTATTTCTATCTTCATTGTCAGTTTACCTATCAGAATCACAGAATCTAAAAATTTTTTCACCTTTTACTAAGACTGCTGTAATATTATCATTTTCCAGTTGTTTTAATTTTTCCAACCATAATTCAGGCTTAACTTTGCCATACTAAAATCTGACTTGTCAATAGTTATAAAGAAACCTTCAATATCTTTCTATTACTCTTATGACAAAACCAGTATCCTTAAAATGGCCTACTAAGGCCTTACATAAAATTCCCCTTACACAATATGCATCCAATAAATTATTAATTGCTCTTAGTTATAAACAAAAATGTAACTCTTGCCTTCAATAAGCTTGCTGGTTAGAAAAGGAGAGATCAATCAAATAATTCTACAAGTAGATGTAAAAGTGCAACTGTGACTAGAATTACAAAGTCCATAGAGCTTTGTAAGCCTACAATAAGGGGGCTTAATATAGGTAAATGCGTTAAGGAAGGTTTGATCATGTCTGAAATATTTGAACAGAAATTTAAAGAAAGATTAGGAGTTAACTAGATTTAAAAAAAAAAAAAAGAAAGAAAAGACTGTTCCATCACGTTCAATGCATGTAGAGATTATTTAGATCTTTTACAGGTGGAAAAAATATTTTGTACAGTACTACTAATTTATATTTGTTAAGGTTTATTTTGTGACCCATAATATGGGCTTGCTTGTTGGGTATGCACTGGGAAAGAATGAATATTCTGCTCTTAGATTCAGTGTTCTATCAATTATTTTAAGTGGCTTATTGAAATCTTAACTATAACTATGGATTTGTCTATTTCTCCTTACAGTTCAGTTTTTGATTCATGTATTATGATGGTCTCATACTAGGTGTGCAAAAATATTCATGATTAAGTTTACTTGATTAATTGACCCCTTTATCATTATCAAATCATCTTATTTCTGGTGTTATTCTTTTGTCTGAATATATGCATTTATACTAAAATAGCCACTCTAGTATTCTTTTAATTAGTGTTAACATGGTATATTACTTTTATCCTTTTACTGTTACCTATTTGTGTCTTTATATTTAGTGTACTTCTTAATATCACTGAGTTCTGCTTTGGTTATCTATTCTAATAATCTCTGCATCTTAATTGCATATTTAAGAAATTTACATTTAATGGTGATTACTCATATGCTTAGGCTTACATCTATCATTTTGTTACTTGTTTTCTATTTCTCTCACCTCTTCTTTGTTCTTCTTTTCTTTCTCTGTCTTCTTTTGGATTCGTTAAATATTATATAGATTTCATTTTATCTCCTTTATTCGTTTATTAGCTATGCTTCTTTGTTTTAGAAGCTGCTTATATTAGTTTGCTATTGCTGTGTAACACATTAGCACAATTTAGCATCTTTTAAAAAACACATTTATTATCTCACAGTTTCCACAGGTTAGGATTTTCGGCAGTTTCCCAGGGTCAATGTTTTATATTTTTCTCAGGGTCTCACAAGGTTGCAATCAAGATATTTACTGGGCAATGTCTTTTTCTGGAGGCTCAATTATGGAAGAATCTGCTTCCAAGCTCATTCAGACTGTTAGCAGAAATTTAATCCTCTTGTGGCTGTTTCACTAACACTAACGGCAGTGCCTTCTTACTGGCTGTCAGCTATGGTTTATTCGCAGATCCTAGAGGCCACCCACAGTTCCTTCCCATGTGGTACTCACCACAGGCAGTTCATGACATGGCTGTTTGCTTCTTCAAGGCCAGGAGAATTTCTTCATGCAGTTTGGTAAGGAGAATGATATAATGGAGGCCTAAGAGTGACAGGCAGTCTCCTCTGCCTAATGAGTAGCCTAATCAATAGAATGACACAGCCCATCACCATTACTATATTCTATTGGTCACAGTTTCCATCTGCACTTGAAAGGAAAAGATCATACAAGAAAGTGACTCATTAGTAGCCATTCTACTAATTCTGTGTTGACACCATTGCTTAAGAGATTGTAATACATAGCTTTATCAGTCTAACTTCAATTGATACACTTCATAGAAACTATGAAGACATATAATTTACTTTCATTTCTTCTCTCCTGCACTTTGTGCTACATTTTATTTTTACGTATGTTATAAATCCCATATCATATTGTTGTTATTTTTATTTATACAGTCCATTACATTTTTCTAAAAGCTTTAAGTATTAAGAAAAAATATTTACTCATGTAATTATTACTTTTGGTATATTCCGCTCCTTTGTAAACATTCAGATTTCAATCTAATGTCATTTTCCTTCTGCCTAAAAGATTTCTTTCATATTTCTCACTGTTTTGATCTGACACAGAAAAATTTCTTCCACTTTTGTATGTCTAAAACCATCTTTACTTAACCTTCATTTTTGAATGGTGTTTACTGGATATAGAAAGTTTACTTTTTTTTATTCTAATACTACTTCAAAGATGTTCCACTGTTTTGTTGCTGGTTGTTCAATAAGAAATTTCCTGTAATCCTTATTTTTGTTTCTTTGTGTGCAACAACCCCCCCATTAACCACAACCATGTTAGGATTTTCTCTTTATCAATGGTTTTTAGCTATGTAATTATGGTATTCCTTAGTGTAGTTTTCTTCATGTTTCTTGTGCCTGGGGTTTAGAGGTTCTTGGATATGTACATTTATAATTTTCATCAAATTTCAAATTTTTGGTGATTTATTACTTATTATTTTTTTGCCCTCTCCCTTTGTATCTCCTCCAGAGGCTCCACTTTCAAGTATATTAGGCTCTTAGAAGTTGTCTCACAGTTCACTGTGGATGTGCTCATGTTACTTTATTTTTTTAACATTCTGTGATTCATTTTGGATAGTTTCTAGGGCTGTTTTCAATTTCTTTTATCTTTTATTTTGCAATATTTAATATGCCATTAATGCAATCTAGTTCCCTCACATTATAGATTTAATTTCTTCAAGTTTGGTATAGGTCTATACTATAAGTTTCATGTTTCTGATTTTCTTTAATAGCTTTTATAACAGCAGTTTATAGTATAAATTGAATGGCTTTTTGTATAGAATTATACAACCCTCCCCATAGCCTAACTGTAGAACATTTTCATTTATCCCCTTAAAAGAAACCCCATATCCATTTTGTTTCTATAGATTTTCCTAATCTGGGCATTTCACATAAATGTAATAATACCTTATGTGGTTTTTTTGTGGCTAGCTTCTTTCACTTAGTATATTTAATGTTTTCAAGGTTCATTCATTCATATTTTAACATGTGGTACCTCATTCTTTTTTTATTGTTGAATAAAACTGCATTGAATGGATGCACATTTCTTTCTTTCATTCACTAGCTAATGGGCATTTAAGTTGTTTCTACTTTTTGACCCTTGTGAATAATGCTGCTATGGAGATTTTTTTGTGTTCAAGTTTTTGTGTGCACATATGTTTTCATTTGTCTTGGACATATACCCAGGAGTGGAATTGTGCCTCCTATAGTAATTCTGTTTAACATACTGAGGAACTGCTAAACTGTTTTCTAAAGTAGATGCACTATTTTACATTGCCACCAGCAGGATGAAGGTCCCACTTTCTCTCCACATCTTTACCACCACTTATTATCTTTTGATTATAGCTCAGCTTATCTTTTTGAACATATCCTGTATAGTTACATAGCTATAATTGTTATACTCTATATAAAGAGTTATACAAATAACCTGTTTTAGTGTTCCTGTCTGTTTATTCTAACATCTATTTCAGTTTGGATCAGCTACTGATTTTTCCCCTCATCATGGGTTTTCTTTTCCTTCTTTTTTGCAAGCTTGATAATTTTTGATTGAATGCTAGATGTAAATTGTACCTTATTGATTACTGAACATTTTGTATCTCCACATTATTGAAGTTTGGCCTGCCATATATTTGTTAACAGTCTGAGCCACCTGGGTTTTGCTTTTAAGATGTTAGGTGGCACTAGAGCAAATCAGTAAATAACTACTAAAGCAAGACTTTTCTGCCAGTATTTTTGACCGTGTGTAACCTCCCGGTATCTTTGTTTCCTCAGACACACGCCGCTCAGTACTCAGCTGAATACTCAAGAAAACGCTACAGAACTCCGAGTTCTCTGAGCAGTTCTCTCCTTTCTCCTACACATTCCCTACCTTGGTCTCCCCAGAATTTCAGCTCTATCTTGTCAACACAGGTAATCTTGGATTCACTCTCCCTGCATGGTATCTTTTAAAAAAAAATCTTTAAAAGCAGTATGCTTTTTGAGTTCGTGTCATTTGCTCTCTTGTATCTCCAGGATTACTATTCGTAACTGATGCTCTGCATCTTAGAAAACAGCCTCACTTTTTTTCCCCCTAGCTCAGTAGGAAATGTTTTAAATACAGTTTGAACACTGTGGAGTTCACCCTGAGACGCAAACTCACATGAACATTTTTCTTCTTCCGCGTAGAGTGAGAGGAACGCCGCAGAAGCGCAGCCGAGTTCATGCCCCACCTCCCATCTCCAGCACCGCCTACTGCCTAGCGCGCAGGCGCAGAACCCTTGCGCGCCCCGCCACAACCGCGCACGCACAAACCGGCGCGCGCCTAGGCGCGAATCCGCGCCTGCCAATTAGAGTGCAATATGGTCCTTGATTCCCGCCCACTGACCCAGCAGCCAATCGCCTGCCCCGGCGGGCAGTTCACGGTGAATCCAAAGCACTCTCAGGGGTGGGGTGAGGGTAGCTGAGTTCGGCGTCCGGAAGGATGGAGGTGGCGGAGACTGAGGCGAAGGCTGGAGCCCTGGAGTAAGTGTTTGCAGCCAAGTAGCCGCTAGGAGCGAGACCGGGCGGACTTTGCGGGACTCCACGGACAATGTTTGGTCCTCTCGAACCTGTACAGCTGTTGAGATTCAACCTCACCATAAAGGGATCCTGACCCCAGTCCCCAGTGTTAGGTTTCTGAGGTGACTGTTGCCCCAGTACGGCCTTTAAGAAATTGTTCTCCGCTCCCCGCTTCACACACTCCCCGGGACTGTGCTCTAGGAGAGGGTCCCATCCCCTTTTAACCTCCACATCCCTTCATGCGTTTCCATCCCCCAGGAGACCTCCCGAAAGGGCCTTTTAATTTCTGTCTTTATGTCCTAACGCAATACTTTCCCAATCGGTTGTTTTATCCCCATTCCTGCTCCCTAGTGGACTGCTCCAGTCCCTAACAAGGAAAAACCTTCAGACTCTAGCACAAGGCATCTAGCCCTCTGTCCTGAGTCCTTCCTCAGCTTTTCGGAGACCTGCTCCAAGATTAGTCCTGTCTGCCAGTCTGCTCAAGAGCCATCAGAGCTTTGTCCTTATTCATCCCTTTTCCTGCTTATCGCTGTCTTCAGGTCTTTACTGAAATGATTTCTATTCAGGGAGTCACTCCCTATTTAAAATTTCAGCCCCTTCCCCACACTTCTTATTCTCTAGACCCGCTGACTTTTTCCTTTTGGCACTTACTACCACCATATGTCCTCCACGCACACACCATTCTTGGTCTGAGGATGTAGGCCCTTCGGGCCCTTGTGTGCCCCTAATGAGGGCAAGACTCTCTGTGCTGATAAACTCATTCATACCTGTGTGCGTTTACACACATCTTCTACAACTAGTGCTGCAGAAGACTGCAGTTTCGTCTGTTTTCTTGCTCCTCCAGAGTCCTGGCTGAGGTGGCAGGCGTCCTGGAGCGTAGAGGCCTGCAGGAAGAGTCTGAACTGCCAGCCCAGATCCTGGCTGAGTTTGTGATGGTATGTACAAGATGGGAGCCAGCCCCTTTCAGAAGTCAGGGGTTGGTCCTGGTTCCTCTTGAGACACTGGGCAGCGTTGATAGAGAACAGATTGGAAAGCAACCTTGTTGACCCATAGTACAGGGAGGTAAAATGTTCCCTGCTTTTACCCTTCCTCTGAACAGGACTCACAGAAGAAAGACAGGCTGCTCTGCAGCCAGCTTCAGGTAGTAGACTTCCTGCAGAACTTCCTGGCTCAGGACGACACTGCCCAGGGCCTGGACCCCTTGGCTTCTGAAGACTTGAGCCGTGAGTAGGCTGGGGATTGCGGGGAGGGGCTGGCCTAAATGGGAAGGTTAGGAAGATGTCAGTTAGTTCCCGTGTTTGGCTGATGGGAAGACTGAGGCCCAGTATTGCAGGGAGGCAGGCTGGCAGGCCAGCCTCATTCATGCCGGCATTGCTGGTGGCTCATCTCAGGACAGAAGGCGATTGCAGCCAAGGAACAATGGAAAGAGCTGAAGGCCACATACCGGGAGCACGTGGAGGCCATCAGAAGTGCCTTGACCCAGGCCCTGATCCAGGAGGAAGAGGTCCACAGGAAGCAAACACAGCTCCAGGAGGCTTTTGAGCAGCTCCAGGCCAAGGTGCACTCAAGGGCATTGAATGTGGGGAGGGAAGGGCAGGCAGACAGGAAGAGGGAAAGAATTAGCCAACTGGATTGAGCTCATTTGCCATCTCCCAAAATTCAACCAGAAAAAATGCACTTCTCTTCTCCCTGTTCCCCTTCTTTGCTATCTGCAGAAGCAAATAGCCATGGAGAAACTCAGAGCAGCCCAGAAGCAGTGGCAGCTGCAACAGGTAGGTTCATCCCCCTAGGAGATTATCTCTTCCCACCACCATGCCATTACATGGGCTGTGTCCTCTGTCTAGAAAACCTTCATTTTTTTTCTTCCTTTGAGGCATTATAAATACCAACATGGCTTGAATCTCAGCATCACTATTTATCACTGCATGACCTTGAGCAGGTCACCTGACCTTTGTTTTTTCATGTGTGAAAATGGGGGCAATAATAGCACCTACCTTATAGAGTTGTTAATTAAATAATCATTACAGCAAGTGCTTAAAATAGTGCCTGGCACATGGCAAGCAAAAGAAGCTTTATCATTGTCTTTGTGCCCATTCCCTGAGAATGCCTCACCCTAAAACAGCTCATTCTGATCCTTCCGTTTCTATTTCTATAGACCTCTGCTTCTGCTTGAAGTGAATAGGGTCCCTCTTTCCATCAGTGAATCTGAGCCCCAAGCTGGGTCTAGGCTGGAGGCATAGCGAGGGATGACTCAAAATCTCAACATCTGATATACCATGTCTGTACCCTCATTCCTGGCAGGAGAAATGTCTGCAGCATCTGGTGGAGGTTTCTACAGAGGTGAGGAAGCGTCAGACAGAAACTCAGCAGGAGCTTGAGCGGCTATGTCAGGAAGTTGAAACCCTGAAGCAGCAGGCAGGATGGGAACGGGATAAGCTACAGAGGTGAGGCTGAGAGCATGGACTGCATACCCAGAATGGTCTAGCTGAGATTCCCTCCCTTCACACCTACCTCCTCCTTCCAGGTACCAGACCTTCCTCCAGCTGCTATATACCCTGCAGGGTAAGCTGCTGTTACCTGAGGCCGAGACTCAGGGAGAGGCAGAGATGCCACAGGAGCTGCCCCTCCACTTGGATCTCCCTGAGGATAAGCCCCAGCAGCTGACCCAGCCCCAGGAGCAGAACACTGGAGACACCATGGAGAAAGATGGTGGTGTGTCCTTCAAGGTGAATGAGAGATGGGATAGATGGGCAGGCAGGTAGAGAGAGAGACTGGGAAATTGACCTTACTCTCTGTCCATACTATATACCATATTTCGCCAAGGCTGCCAGCCCACAACCTGCTGGAGATGTGAGCTTGCCATGGCTCCCTAAGCATGGAAAAGGATCCTAGAGCAGGTCAGACCCCAACTTTGACTTTGGTGTCTTTGGATGGAAGTGTGGAAGGAGAGAGGGCCTCTAGGCTACCTCTCTCTACATCTGAGCTCTGCTGCCCATTGAACAAATGGGAGGTAGGAGGGAGGAAAGAGTTTATGTTATGGTTCAAGCTTAACACCTCATTCCAGTGCCTAGTCCACCCAGGCCTAACCCCTCTCTTCCTCTTTACCAGTCTCCTGGCCCCACCCTCATTGCAGGATGGACTGTGAACCACTGAGTACATCCTGATTTCTGACGATCATCCAGGTAGGGTCAAGCTCTGGCATCTGGATTAAAAGTACTGGATCTCTAAGTTGCCAATTTGTTCATCTTCATGTTTTGGTGGGAAGAACTACAGACATTCAAAGGACAATACCATGACAAGAGCTGGTACTGGTGTGAACAGAGGGTATACAGATGGGAAGGGTCCCTGTGTGGGGTTTCAAGTTGCTTCACCATATGATGCAGACATACTGAGCTCAACTCAAGGAGGAGGAGAATACTTTATGCAGATGGTTATATGTGGGAAGATAATTTTATTTACTGACCCAAATTTTATTCACAAATCCAAATGTTTGAGTCCTTTTTTTGTGGTAGGCCCCTTGCTGCGAACCAGGGCTATAACAGTGAGCTTATCTGACCCTGTTTTAGGATACATGGCCTAATGTTACATTCCTGATACATTTTTATACCTTATCTAATAATTTCCTTGATCACTTTTTTCAGATAGTCATTCATTGTTCATCTTTTCAAAGATTCAAAGATGTGGCTTTTGTGATCCACTTTTGTATGTTTTGTTTCATTGACTTCTAGTGATATCTCAATCATTTCTTCCCTTCTCTTTTTGGATGGAGAAGGTGTACTTTCTTTGTAAACTCTCATTTTTATCAGATGATAAACTCATGTATTTGGATCTTTATTTGTTTTCTCAAACATTTAAGGCTATAAATATCTTCTGACTTCCTCTAAGTATTTTCACAATTATTCAATTCATAGCATTTTCTATTTTCTATTGTAATGATTCATGAGTTTCTTTGAAAAATAATTTGGTCTTCTACTATATGTCTGTGGGAGGATAATCTAAGTTTATTATAATTTGGTCATCTGTATAAAACTTTGCAGTTTGGTGAGGGAAGCCATATAACGTTGATGTTTTCTTTTTATATAGTTTCACATGGGTTTGGAAAGAATGTGTATTTTAGAATTGTATGTAATGCGTTCTATATATCAGATTATGTTTGCTATTTTTTCAATTTATATCTTCTACGTAATTTATTGTTGACCGACTATCATCTTATGAGAGAGGTGTGTTCAAGTCTCCAACTATAATAGTGGATTTGTTTATTTCTATTAAATTCGCTTTACATATTTTGCAGCTACTTTGTTTAGGTATGTACAAGTTTACACTTCTGACCTGAACTTTGACTATTGTGTAGCAGTCTACTTCATATCTAGGATAGTGTTTTTAGTTTTGAAATCTAATAATTTTAATATTAATATAACTTTTCTAATTCTTTTGGTTACCCTTTGCCTGGCATATCTTTCCTCTTGAATTTCAATCTTTTTTGAGTTTCAACCTTTCTTTATACTTATGTTTATCACTTGTATACATTTAAAAGGTAAGGTTATTTTTAAAGAAATCAGTTTCATAATACTTGTATTTATGTTTTTGCATTTGTATCAATTTTTTCATTCCCTCTTGCTTTTTTTTTTTTTAATCGCTTTCATGCCTGTTAGTTTTTTATTTTCTTTTTGGTCATTTTGTTCTCATTCCTTTCATCCTGTTTGTTTATTGGGAAATTCTTCTCTGCTAGTTTAGCTTTCATAGTTAATAAAATCTACAGTTAATTCTGAAGAATCTTGATCCTCTTCTTAAACGATAAATGAAGCCTAACAGGCTTTACCACTGATGGATCACCCTACTCTTTAAGAGCTTTCATATGGAATAATTTTCCCATATGAAATAAATGTCTCAATTTCCTTTAGTTAGGACCTGTGGGCTGTATAATACTTTACTTTTTCTTAGTATGGAAATATTTTTATTTCATTCTCATTGAAAATTTTCATTATGTAGAATATGCTTGGTAGACAGGCAATTTCACTTAACACATTGAAAATATTTTCCCACGGTCATCTGGCTTTTGTTGTTGCTGATGGGAAGTCAGCTGCCAGTTTAAAAGCCCTCTCTATGACATCATTTTTTACCTACTGGCTACTTAAATTTTCCTGTTGTCTTTATTATTCACTTCTGCTTCCTTTTTGTTTATTTTTCAATAATTTGTATAATTTTTAAAATTATATTGGATAGATACATTTTCTTTGTCATATTCTAATAAATGCATTTAAGTGTGCATTTTATTTGACTGCCACTCTGAGAATAGTTCATACATCTTAGTACATAGACTATCCATTATTTCTAAGAAGATTGTAATTTTAGTATTGATTTTATTTTAAATCAAAAAAGTTTCTCTTACCGCTTTTGCTTTTGCTTACTGCTTTTAGAATAATGTTTAATTCCTAAATGGATTTAGGATAATTTTTGTTATTTTTAGTCCACCAAATTTTGTAATTTTATTATTTATTGTATTTCATTTGCCTCAAATAATATGACACCTATGAATTCCTTTTAATAAATTTTTTTAATTACATATGTATTCATAGATATGTATTTTATATGTGTATGTATAATCATGATATGTGCTCTTAGAGGGGATTTTATCATTTTTATTCATCACTGAATCCATAGACTCAAGGGAAATCCTGATAGGGGATAGTTACACACACAACATCTGTTGAAAATATAAATGGTCAAAAAAAATGGAAAAGAAACACAACACATCCATGAAGGATTCCAGGTTTTTAAGTGTGACTTAGAGGTTTGTATGAGATTTCACAGAGGTTGCACCCAAAAGGCATTTTATTTATTAATATATGCTATGGCTTCAGTTCCATCCACATTTTCCTAAATATTTTTTCTGACAAAATTCTGAACATTGAAAATTCTCTAATACAGTGGTCCCCAACCTTTTTGGCACCAGGGACCAGATTCATGGAAGACAATTTTTCCATGTAGTGGGCTGGGTGGGGGGTGGTTTGGGGATGATTCAAACACATTACATTCATTGTGCAATCAAACCTCTCTGCTAATGATAATCTGTATCTGTAGCCACTCACCTGCACTAGCATCATTGACTCAGCTCCACTTCAGATCATCGGGCATTAGATTCTCATAAGGAGCCTGCAACCTGATCCCTCACATGCGCAATTTACAGTACGGTTCACGCTCCTATGAAAATCTAATGCCCCATGATCTGACAGGCGGCCGAGTTTATATGGTGATGCCAGTGATGGAGAGCACCTATAAATACAAGTGAAGTTCTGCTTGCTGGCTCACCTCCTACTGCGCTGCCTAGTTCCTAACAGGCCAATGGACCTTTACTGGTCCACTGCCTGGGGGTTGGGGACTGCAGCTTCTCAACCCCCATGGGAATTTAACAAAGGTTTCACTTCTAATATTCCAACCTGCCACAATAAGACAGGCTATTTTCTGCTGCTCTCTGTTTCTTACAGTTTTAAACTTATACTTTTCGCAGCAGTGGTGATTAATAAAGTTCTTGAATATCCCTAAAAATTAATTTTTTCTCCTCTGTGCTACCAGTACATATTCATGTAAATTTGGGCTTATATATTTTATTGAGGTATTGTTTTCATGAAGTTATTCTTCCAAAGTGGAGTAAAACAGGTATCTCCAGAGTGTGTAGAATTTTTAGTCATAACATCTGAGAAATTTCTGCTAACTTTGAAAATGGAATAACTATTTACTTTCACAGTGTTAATTTTCTCTCATTTTAGAGCCTTTCTGAGGTTAATATACTTCATTCCTGTCATACAGAATTTATGTAACTTCTATTAAATGTTTGTCTCATTTTTATACATAATTTTGAATTATGAATGGAGTATGAAATTAAATATATTGATTTTATATTCCTAGCCCAGTCTTTAAATGACGTTTTTGATACTTAGAACATTGGGCTCTGAGGAACTTAGTTCTTGGGTTTGTAATTCATTAAATAACAAACATGCCCCACTGGTACACTTTACTTTTGAAACTCTGAATAACCTAGCATTATGTCTGGAGTCAACATCTTTCGTTCTTGTTTTGAGGTCTTTTATAAAACTGTCATTTCGGGGAGATGTAAATTCTTTTATTTATGTTGTTAATTTATGACTGTTAAAGTTATAAAAAAAACCAGAAAATTTTAATCTTTATAAACTTCTGCAATATATAAGGATTAGATTTGGATGCCATATTCATATACATTTCTAAATTTTAAATTGTCAGGTGGACTTTAGCAAACACACTTACCTAAGGTGTGTATAATTCATTTAGTCATGCACTTTATGGTAATTATACCCAAGTGCAGGAGTTGATGTTTATTGAAATGCAAACTCCTGGGGTCAAGGGATTCTCCTGCCTCAGCTTCCCAAGTAGCTGGGACTACAGGTACATGCCCCCATGTCTGGCTGATTTTTTATTTTTTTGTAGAAACAGGGTCTCATTACGATTTTATTAATCTAGTTAAAAAGCAATGATTTTAAATTTTTAAGCTTGTCATATAACTGATAACTGAACAATAATTTATTCTTTATGTGTGTACTTTGAAAATAACTTCTCTTTGGGGACAGAGGTCTGTCTACAGACTCCAGGGCCTGGATTACCCTGACCAGATAATCTAGAAATAAGAATAATTTGAAATAATCTATTTATTGAAATATAACATTTTCACTGGTTCTTTTATTCTATCATGCTTTAAAAATAATAGCCTGCTGGGGGAAGATGCATGGGTTTCTAGCTTGAAAACTCTACTGTTAATGATGACTGTAATGCCTAACTTTGTTCCACTGCGCCATTGTGAACATAAGAAAGAAATACTAGGAAAAGGAAAGAAATAGTAAATTCAGTAGAGAAATTCAATC